ATGCAAGTTAGCATTTTTTTATGGGGAGAGTATTAATATCCTCGAACTATCAGAGCTCCGTTTGAGTTTAAAATATTTTTTAATGCTCCGCAATCCTAGCTTCTTTGGGGTGTTTACATTTTGAATAAACCACATACCCTGCACTGGATAATGATATGGTGCTTATTTCCTTGTGCTGGTGAGAAGACTTTCCCTTCGGCATCGTGTTGCAAAAAACATTTCACAACAAAAATTACAAATAAATACAAAAGTTTATCAACAAAAATTAAAGGAAAAAGTCATCGGGAGAAACTTTTACGACACCCTCTATACAATATTTTAAAAATTTCAAGTCAATCGGTAAACTTGTTCATAAATTATTGAAGGACAGACAGACAGACGGACATGACAATTACATAAGCCTTGGTTCGGGCTAAACAGTAAATTATTTCGTTGGAAATTTTAATGAAAAGCGTTGTAAAATTAATCAATTGGTTGCACAAGTCATGATTGGCGAAGTTATTAATTTTGGTTGGAATAATACATATTTTCGTTGGATGGTATAAAATAAATCCTACTTTATTGTGACCACTCGCTTACTCCACTACATCATTCCGCTGTGTCGAAATTGCTCCACCTTTCCAGTCAGTTCGGTCAGTTAATAGAAAACTTTACCATAACCTGCGAAGAACTACCTATGTACGAAATGGTCCAAAGCGTCTGCCGGTCTGCCCAAATTTGAAACGACTGGAAATCCCTTTCATAACGATGGAACCAGAAGAAAATACTTATCAAGACTCGGAAGTTCGTGGAGATTGTATCTTGGATAAGTTGACCTCTATCAAAATCGGTGATTTCACATATTACCCCAGCGTCTTCAAGATTACACAATGGCTCCTTAATTCTACCCCAAACCTGACCCATTTTAGCCACAATGGCGACAAGTTTCCAGATTTAGGTCGGAATAAGTCCATCAAACTGGTCGAATTGAACTTGAAAGTATCCGATCTGCAGAGTGCTGATCATATTCGTGGAATCAACAAGATCTTGAACCAAGTGAAGGACCACGTGGAATTTTTGTACGTGAAGACTGAGGAGGGGAGCTTGCGAGGTTGATAATAACAGATATTGGTGCCCTTTGGATATGTGGTAGGGACCCATGAGTGTACTAAAACCCTGAAGTAGTTTGACTCCATGGCCACATTTGCGCCCGCCACACCCACTCAAAAATGTCCAAAAAACGCTTTCACTCGAGTTTTCACTCACTCAAATCCACGTCAAAAATCCAATTTTACTCGGATTTTGAAATTTCTTTCACCATTATACTCCCAGATAGTTGCTTTCTTCAATCCAATATCAAACTCAATTTTTTCGAAATTTTTAGTATTTTTAAAATTTAAAATTCTGAATGAGCTTTGTTGTAGTCATCAACAAAACAAATTATGTTTGCGAAATAATCATCAATAAAATTGAGTTTGATATTGTATTGAAGAAAGCAACTATCTGGGAGTATAATGGTGAAAGAAATTTCAAAATCCGAGTAAAATTGGATTTTTGACGTGGATTTGAGTGAGTGAAAACTGGGGTGAAAGCGTTTTTTGGGCATTTTTGAGTGGGTGTGGCGGGCGCAAATGTGGCCATGGAGTCAAACTACTTCAGGGTTTTAGTACACTCATGGGTCCCTACCACATATCCAAAGGGCACCAAGATCTGTTATTATCAACCTCGCAAGCTCCCCTCCTGAGTGGGAGCTTAGAGAACCTTCAGGCCAAATTGAGTTACAGATCCCAAAAATGAAAAAGCTTAAAGAATTTGAGAATTCCATACTGGATTTGTTCACCTGTGGGGATAAATTGCAACAAATTTCCACCGCAAGGATTCCTACATTGGAAACCTTACGGCTTTCAACATCTTCAAGTGATAGAAATTTGAATAATTTATTACGAAATATTACAAAGGAAAAAGATCTATTCAGTGGAGTGCAGAACCTGCACGTCCGGGATCTACATGACCGCGAAGCAATTGCTGCATTAAAGACACCATTCCCAAATTAGAAAGTTTGTCGATTTCTCAGTGGATGATAAGGCATGTCCGTTTAGCGAAATGGGACCTTATCTGCAAGCGTGTGGGTCACTTGGATTAAAATACTTGGCGATGGAGCTGGACCCTTTTGGTGGCGACGAAGAACAAGATTTCTCGCAGTTTCTTGAAGGTTTTTCAAATTGTGGGGAAGTGTTGGAAGGTAATTGGAGTAAAAAATTATAACTTATTCTGCAGTGGCGGCGGAAGCTGTGGGGACATCTGGGGCATTAACATTGTAGGATAGGGGAGGGGGGGTTTATATTGGGGAGATGCTTGGGACATTGAATACCCATGGGGATAATTGTCCCCCTGTCCCCAGGCATCCGCATCCACTGTATATTTACATGTGTTAATGTACATGTGACTCGTTTGTTAAATTACTTGATTTATATAGGTCTTAAAGCTTTGAAAGTGAAATTTATCCATGGGGACGAACAGTTATCCGATGATTTGGATCTTGTCGAAGATGGGAAGGGGCAGATGAAGGAGTGGCTTTCGGGACTGAAGGGATTCGAGGATGTGCATATGTTGGGAATTACAGTGAGTCTTGTTAAAACAGTGTTTTTTTGCTGCATTTTAATATGTATACGTTTCTTCAGCCTTTTACATAAATTGATGTTTTGAATATTTATAGATTAAAAGAAAAACATGGAAATGGATGGAACCCTTCATTCGCAGGAAAAAGATTCCAATTCGGTTTAATTGATATTAATACCCGTTTTCAAGAAGTCCAAATTTACTCAAGTACATATTTATTTAGTGTTGTCTGAATTCGAGTTTTAAATTTGGCAAAATTGAAATCTACAAGGATTCCTACAGAATCGACATTCGTTAAAAAATATTGGTCATTTTATGCATAAAACTTAAATATTTTAATTTGGAAAACGACACTTTGATATTTGTATGGTAGAATGAGATTAGTTTTTACAGCAAACTTTTTTTTGCAATACACAATTCTTTATTTAATTAAAAACTAAATTACTCTGCTTATATCTGTGCTTAATTTAATAAGAGCGTACTCACGTCTACCATGCCCATATCTCGCAAATCGAGCACAACAATGTCGTCATTAATAATAATTGCATTTAAGCAAGTCAAGATTTTTATTTGTTGAACAAATTCCTCATTTACATGCATGAAAAGCTGCTCATGACAAACTGGATGGAGGAGACAACGCATTTGTGTCATCATCCGCGAAACCGGCTGTTTTTCATCGCAAATGCTTCCCACGTGTTCTTGTTAATTTCTCCTCGTAATTTTTGTGCACTTAGGGTTGCCATCCGATCGGATAGGATAGGATAGGATAAAAATAATTTTTATCCGATCGGATAAGTCCACTGTTCTGATAATCCGAGTCGGATAATTTCAGAAATATTATCCTATCCTATCCGTCGGATATCCGACGGATATCGGATAGGATAATCAAATTAATTACGAAAATAACTACAAAAATTTCAAATAATGCCAACAATTGTCGGGTATTCAATTTACATATTCTCTCTTAAAATCATGTCAAGTGCACTGAGCACAGACTGAACTACTAAGGGAGTTGTAGGAATTAGAAGTGATACATATGTATGTATTTGAGAAGTGGAGACTTACAAACGTCTTTCTGTAAGTCTCCACTTTTCTTAATTAGTTTGAATAAATAAGTATGTATGATACGCAGTATGAAATCAGTTCAATTTATCACAATGTCAATATTCAAATTAATTACTTTAAAGCATCCACAGAACTAGATTGATTCTCTAAGCAATGGGAAAATAACCTTATAAATTACCACAAAGGGAACCGTTTTGTGTCTGACATGGTAATAATTTTACACCTACTAACAAGGGACACTCACGACCTGTCGTTTGAGTCCAGGGTACCCACCATGTTTTTTAGAATCTACTAGGACCCCAGATGAAGGATTCATTCATATTTCCGTGTAAAACTCATATTTGGCGACGTGGCGTGGCGCCAAATTCGCCAAAATTGAATGTTTTTATTTTTGAAACCGCCATAACTTTTTAAATTGTGGACGGATTTTCAAAATTTTTGGCAAAAATCATGACAAGGAGTTCAACTTTCTTATTCCATGAAATTTTTTCTAAAATTATCGCTTTTAACTTTTCGCAAAATTTCGTAATTTTCTTCGAAATAGGGGTTCGTCGAAAAAATCCTAACAATATTGCAAAAATTAGAAATTTTTTATTTTTATTTTTTTGTCAAAAATTTCGACTTTTGTGATCATTTTAAGCATAAAATTTTGAAAATCCGACATAAACTGCAAAAGTTATGAGGGTTTGAAGTTGGTCGAAAATGCAAATTTTAAGTTTGGCGCCACGCCATGGCGCCAAATATGCGTTTTACACGGAAATATGAATGGATCCTTCATCTGGGGTCCTAGTAGATTCTAAAAAACATAGTGGGTACCCTGGACTCAAACGACAGGTCGTGAGTGTCCCTTGTAAGATTTGTCTAGAATTACTTAAATATATCCATGGATGAAAATTAAATACAATTGGGGATGGAATATTTACTTTACTTTCGCACATACTGCGTGTCTAAATTACACGTAACTCTCATTTTTAAATTATCCGATATCCGTCGGATATCCGACGGACAACATCGGATAATCCGAGTCGGATAATTTGAAAAAATTATTTTATCCGACGGATATCCGAATCGTATTTTTCCTTATCCTATCCGACATTATCCGATCCTATCCGATCGGGTAGGATAATCTCGGATAAAAACGGCAACCCTATGTGCACTATTTTGCAATCGTATAAAAACGATCGGGAATCCGTGGATTGGCGTGGATCGGTTGGCGTTACAAATACTCGAGTATACAAGTATTTATAACTTTGTAATTATTTGTTATTATTCTGTAAAAGTAATATTTTCTAGCTAAGAATATACATTTTTCATTTTGAAAATTTAGCATGGAAAATATGGTGGAGGAAGACCCACAAAATCACGCGATGCGGACAGCTCTACAAAATCCGGTTGTAAGTTTTCAAAATTTAAACTTTAAATAATGTATGTATTTCAAATTCATTTCCAAGTGAAATAGCAAATAGAAGGCAATGGTGGTATTACACGCGAGGTTGAATTGAAATTTTTGTGTCTCAAGTTGAGAGTCGACTCTCAACTTGAGACACAAAAATTTGAGACGAGGGTTGAGACTCTCAACTCTCCCTTCTTCCATGTATTCAAATCGCGATTTTGAAACCTGTTCATCTCCGTGCGTTTTTTTACAGAATTAGGATCTTATTGCATTTAAAAATTATCGATTTTCAAATAGCTATGCTACAATACAATTATAATTCTGTAAAAAACGAAGAAAAGAAAAAAATGCACAGTTAGATTTTTATACATGAGAAATAGAAACACACTAAAAAGTAATGACTCGTTACTAACGAGTGACGAGTAAATCTTAAATATTTTTCCATGGAAGAAAAAAATCTAACCTCATAACTTTCCAAACCTAAAAAGTATCGAGTTTTAGATGCAATAACATCTTCATTTTTTTTAAACTCACGGAGATACACATGTTTCGACGTCCCGGTTTAGCCGGAACATACATAAATACCAGTTACGTGCATGTAATATTTATTTACTTATACTAAAATTGAACAAGGTGTGTAATGTACTGTGCGGGTGGAGCTTAGCTCGTGAAAAACCCAGTGTTGCGCCTCACTTAACAGGAGAACTGAGGCGCAACACTGGGTTTTCACGAGCTAAGCTCCATCCGCATAGCACATATCTTGTTCAATTTTAGTATAATTTCCTTTCCTGGCTCTTTCTCAAAATTCGGTGATATCTGAATCGCCATGGACAATTTTTCTCGCCAAAAAATGTCCCGGTTTTAGTCAGGCCAATATGTATGGTCGGTCACCCTAAATATGTTTCAAAATCAAAGAAGAGAGCTTTGAAACACAAACGTTTAAATTCAAAACCCGCATGCAATGGAACCTTATATTTAAACTGATTCTTTAACTTTTTAACAGCTCCTTCAGCAAATACTTCAATATCTCCCTCGCTCCGGACCAACATTACGACTCGTTTCCCACTTCTGGAACGACCTCACACTTTCCCTTCCCAGTCCAATATTGACCCTTCGCCCCGACCACGGGAATCATTGCTGCAATGCGACCCCATTTCACCTATTTTGTATCAAAATGGAACCCAGACTTGCCCGAAGTATATCTGAACATGCCGTTACAGATTATTGTGCCCACTCGTCTGGTAGACTTACAGCTTCCGGTGTGTCTAAATTGCTCCACGTTTCCGGTCAGTTCGGTCGCTTCATAGAAAACTTTTCAGTAACCTGTGAGGATGAGGGCTACATCGCCACCTTGTACGAAATCCTGCAAAACTGCTGCCCAAATTTGAAACGACTGAAAATCACTTTCATGACGACGGGAATGGCAAATTCGGATGAAGAATCGAACAATTATGCAGATTCACGTCCATGTACATTGGATAAGTTGACTTCAATAACAATTCAAGACGTCACTGATTACCCGAGCGTCTCCAAGGTGACACAGTGGATCCTTAATTCTGCCCCGAACCTGACCCATCTCTCCTACGAGGGTGACCGGGTTCCAGATTTAGGGAAGAATGGGTCAATCAAACGGCTCAAATTGGAGATGGATTGTGGGGGAGTATCAGAAATCCAGGGTGCTAATTACATCCGTGGCCCTGGACCAGGTTAAGGACCACGTGGAATTTTTGTACTTGAAAGTTGACTTTTGGCACAACAGTGAACCTGTCCCCGTTGATTTGCATATCCCAAAAATGAAAAAGCTTAAAGAATTTCAGAATTCTGCGCTTAATTGGCTCAGCTGTGGGGATAAGTTACAAGCCATTTGCACAGCAAGGATCCCAACTTTGCAGACTTTACGGCTTTCGACATCTTCAACGGCGAAAAGTTTGGCGTGTTTGTTACGAAATGTTATGAAGGAGAAGGATTTATTCAGCGGGGTAAAAAACCTGCACGTCACGAATCTACACGACCCCGAAGTAATTGCTGGATTGAAGACACCATTCCCAAATTTGGAAAGTTTGTCAATTGTTCAGACTGATATGGATTCATGCCAGGTTATCGAAATGGAACCATATTTACGAGCGTTTGGTTCACTTGGATTGGAATTCTTGGAGATTGATCTGGGAGCATTTTTTCATGGGGCGAAGCTTTCTGAATTTCTGAAAGGTTTTTCCAATTGCGGGGAATTGTTGTCAGGTACGAGGAAAACTATTATTACGTATGTAAGATGTGCAATGGCCGCGGGGAAACGTGGCGACCTTCACATGGTGGGATAGGTGGGGTAGGGGTTCATATTTACATATTACATGGGCAGATGACAGGGACATCGAATAATTGTGGTGTCCCACTGCCCGCACGATTCCGCAGCCACTGTACATTTCCATGTACAGGGTGGTTTAATGTCACGCCACAATGATAAAAATTCGCAAGTTTCCATAAATTACTGAAATTTCGTCTCTTAAATTCAACATTTTAAGAATTTCGTTATCAGTGTTACACCAGTTTCGACAAAACTATGCGGTATATTTTCAAAATTTCGGTAACAAATGGAAATTACGAAGTTTTTCCATTCAAAAATTTGCATTATAGTGTGCCACTTAAACCACTCTCTACATACATATGTATATATATTTGACTCTGAAGATGTTCTTAATTTTTTAAATAACATTAGGCCTCGAAACTTTGGAAATACAATTTACCCATTACCAAGCAAAGTTTTCCGATGACTTGGATCTTATCGAAGATGGGGTGGCGCAGATGATGGAATGGCTTTTGGGAATGAAGGAATTGGAGGATGTAACTATTTCGGGACTTAAGGCGAGTCTTGTTGACACTTTTGCTGCATTTTAAAATCCGTATGTTTCATCGTCCTTTTACATTAATGGGCGTTTTGAATATTTACAGATTAGTAGAAAAACATGGAAATGGATGGAACCCTTCATTCGAGTGAACGAGATTCCGATTGAGTTTAATTGAAATTAAACCCTTTTCCAAAGCTCCACATTAAATAGAAATCTTATACTTCAAATAATGAAATTTGCGCATTTATGTATGTATTTTTCTAGTACTTGTAGTATCTAGTAATATTTATTAAAATAATCCTTAATTTAAGTAAAAACTATTAATTACTGATGCATTCCACTGGATGTGTACAACTTTCCCTGATTCCATTTTTCAGAGAGAGACAGAGATTCAGGCTGATTCTCGCAGGTGTCACTACCCGCTCGCAGAAGGGGCGTATGAAACTCACCAGTCTTTGTCTCTCTCTGACAAACATTTTATGGTGAACATTTTCTTACCAACGAGCATCTCATTTAATGTAATATGTAATGCATTCATATGCAACATATATTAAATAAAGATGCTGGTGGCATCTTTTAATTTGTTACCCCGGGTTTTCAACCACCTCGTGTTCAGATGATTTTCATCTTCACACGAGTTGGTTTGTTTTCCAAATTCTCCAGTTTTTTTTAAAGCAATAAAAAAGTGTGAGTTTTTTATAAATTAATAAAAAAAACTGTGCATCATGGAGTCTTACTCCTCCCACACGGATCAGCCACCAGTACCACCACCCCCACTTTCGCCCCCGCCACCACCGCCACCCCTTCTTTCGACCATGTCGTCGTCATCATCATCATCATCATCATCATCATCACCACCACCACCGGATACTACCCCACCCGCCCAAGGAATTCATGGTATGTATCCTTTTTTGTTGTATTTGGGGAGGGTGGGGTTCCTGGTACCACTCCCCCTGCCCTGTTGGGTAGGGGGTCGTCTTCTCCGCCAGTATGTTCCTCTACATACGGTGGTACCAGAAGAGAGGAACATGCTGGCTAAATTTGGTTTTTTAAACCATATTTTAACCTTTTTGGTTGTTTTTGCAGAAGATGCAGAAACCAGACGGAACGTGGAAGGTAATTTTTTAAATTATGTTTGAAAAATTAAAAAATATAGTAACAATGGTTGAAAAAAATTAAAATTGGTAAAATCATATAAAATTTGGTAAAATATAAGTATTTATATTAATGAAAATTCTATTAAATTTGGTAAACAATATCAGAGCGTGGTTAATTATTAACATTAATGAAAATCTAATTAAATTTGGTACACAATATCAGAGCGTGTTTAATTATTAACATTAATGAAAAATTTATTAAATTTGGCAAAAAATATCAGAGCGTGGATAATTATTTATATCCACTAAAATTTTATTAAAATTGGCAAAAAAATATCAGAGCGTGGTTAATTATTTATATCCACTAAAATTTGGTTAAAATTGGCAAAAAAAATTCAGAGCGTGGTTAATTATTTTTATTAATGAAAATTTTATTAAACTTGGTAAAAAATATCAGAGCGTGGTTAATTATTTTTATTAATGAAAATTTTATTAAAGTTGGTAAAAAATATCAGAGCGTGGTTAATTATTTTTATTAATGAAAATTTTATTGAACTTGGTAAAAAATATCAGAGCGTGCTTAATTATTTTTATTAATGAAAATTTTATTAAACTTGTTAAAAAATATCAGAGCGTGGTTAATTATTTTTATTAATGAAAATTTTATTAAACTTGTTAAAAAATATCAGAGCGTGGTTAATTATTTTTATTAATGAAAATTTTATTAAACTTGGTAAAAAATATCAGAGCGTGGATAATTATTAAAATATTTCAAAGTATTAATAAATTATAAGAGTGCTAAATTATATTTTATAGTACGACTCTGCAATATTGGACTCTTGATTGCCCACCATGGCTGGACTTGTTCTAAAGATAAATCTGTGGCTGGATTAGTTAGCAAGATGGAGCAATACAGGATTTTGCACTCAATGAAGCAGACATTTCCAGGGTACAATCTTAAAGTTAATTTTAATGATAACAGCATCTGCACCAAATGTATCGAGTATTTTGGTCGGCGAAGAAGCGCTATGCTATGCTGTCATCCAAAACATAATGATAAGTATAGTGGTAAGTATGTGAAGTACATTACCGCGGAGCAATACTTTACCCAGTATAAGGAGATAGGTTTATTACCAAATCAAGCTATATGCAAGGACGCAAAATTTTGCCATGGTTATGCTGAAGAAATTCAAGAACAAGAGTCGGAAGACCCATTTGAAGAACCTGTCACCAAGAAGAAATTGGTCGATACGTTGACCAATATAAAACAGACAATCTCTCCTTCATCCCCTGCAATAACATTTAATAGAAGAAACCTCATCCAACAGGGTAACCTCGTCACAAGAGAACTTGAGCAAGTTGCCAAGACAATCACCACAGGATTTAAAGAAGTCGGATTGCCAATTGAAGAAGAAGATAAACAACAACTTCTACAAGATTCTGAAGATCTCAAGTGGATCATGAACAACTTAAAGTTGAGATTGCAAGGATGTTCTCAAGCCGAAAAAAACAGCTTTTAACCCTGGTTCCGCCATCTTGGAGTATCAAGAAAACCAAAGACTTCTTCGACGTTGGACAGCGGTTGGTCCAGGGAAGTCGAAAACGTCGAACAGAAACCAACACCATTCTTCCTCCCGTAAAACCAAAATGTGGATTCAAAATTACTGATGAGACAAAATCCAGGATTAAGGACTTCTATTATCAAGATGATGTTTCTAGAGCCTGCCCAGGACAACAGGACTTCTTATCCATAAAGAACAAGGAAACAGGGAAACGAGAACATAAGCAGAAGCGGTATCTTTTAAGCAATCTGCGGGAGCTCTACGAAATTTTCAAGACCCACCACCCGGATTCGAAAATTGGGAAATCATCCTTTATGATGCTAAGGCCGCCAGAATGCATCTCGCTAACCAGCAAGGGATACCACAACGTTTGCGTATGTATTCATCATGAGAACGTCAAACTTTTGTTCCACGCTATCAAGATTTCTTCAATCAAGCCTTTAATTTCACAATTAGTTTGTGAAAACGGAGGCAAGGATTGCTACTACAGGAGATGTGCTCAGTGTAAAGGATCCACAACAAGATTCAAAACAACTTTAAGAGAAAATGAAGTACTCAAGAACAACGAGTCAATATCGTACCGAAGATGGCTAACAACCGATGGGACCCAATACGTGACTCAAGAAAAGGATACCGAAGAATTCTTGGACTTTGCAACTTTAGAATTGGAGAAGATGATGAAACATCACTACATCAGCAAAGCTCAGCATGAATTTCTGGTGGATCTTCGCCAGAATCTCAAACCAGGTGAGATTGTCATATGGGGCGATTTTTCTGAAAATTATTCACCTGTCATCCAAAATGCTGTCCAGTCTGAGTATTTTTCCCATAAACAAATCACTCTCCACCCCTTCACGATATATTGGAACGTGAATCAAGAAGTCAAGATGAAGAGCATAACTGTCATTAGTGATTGTACCACTCATGACACAAACTCTTTCTACGCATTCCAGACCAAACTCGTACCAAAACTTGTTGCTGAGTTTGCTGCTGCCCAAATCAAGATTACCAAGACCTACTACGTTTCGGATGGATCTGCAGCCCAATATAAGAACCGAAAAAACTTCTGTAACTTATACCATCATCTAAAGGACTTCGGAATTATAGCTGAATGGAACTATGGAGCAACTGCTCATATGAAGGGACCTCAAGATGCTCAAGGAGGAATTGCGAAACGTCGAGCAAGAACTGCATCCCTACAAGGCACCAAGATTACAACAGCCTTAGAATTCTATAACTGGTGCAGTTCAAATATCAAAGGAATAGAATACATCTTCATCTCGGATTCCGAAATTCAGGAGATTATTGATGAAAAGGATTTAACTTCCCGGTACGAGACAATAAAAACAATTGCGGGGACTCAACAAGCTCATCGTATTGAAATTGCATCGGGAAAAATTCACCTTTACGAAGTTTCTCGGGACACCACGGTGATGGCTACGAAAATAATGGAATCCGAAGGCCAACCTCCCCTGGTCATCATCGATGAATGCTCTGTCAGCGATTGGGTTGTTTGTGTCTACGAGAAACAATGGTATGTCGCAATCATCGACGAAGTGGACCTCGCGGAACAGGAGGTGAAGGTGACATTTTGGAAACCCAACACCTCCAAATCCAAATCTGGAACTTCGTATATTTCTGAAAACGCTTCTTGTTACATCAAGATTGGACAGATTATTAAGAAGATTTTCCCATCAAGAGCATCAAGACGTGGAAGGACCATCAACATCTCTATGGAGGAGCAGGAAGAAATAGGAAGACTCTTTCAACAATTTCAACGATAAATGTATAAACTTGTAAATAGTGTATATATGTAAATAGTAGGTTAATTTCTTAGTTTAGACCTTTATTTTATGCGGTGCTAGTATTAAGAAGTGATACCTCCTAGTCTCAAGAAAGAAGAAGGACGTGGTGGCGAAGATGGACTTCGAATGGTGGTATTGGTGGCTGACCTAATAATATTTTTTAATAAATTTATTTATTAAATCATATTATTAAATACTTTAAATGAATTATTCAAATTTACCCGATTCTTCGAATTTAAAATCATTTGGTAATTTAGTCATGATCGCAGATCGCATAATATAACTTTCATATGGCTTTCAATGACTGTTTTTAATTGCTAAGAATGTTAGTTTAATTATCCCGCGATAATTAAATTAACATCACCTTGGGTAAGGGTCCGAGGTTGTTGCTACCTCGCTGATGACTGGATTTTCCAGCAGGAAGTATTTGTAAGCAAATAATTCTTGGACTAAGCATAGTCGAAACCCTAAAATTGCTGATAGTGTCTAACAAACACTATTAGCTTATGAAATTTTACACAATCATGGTGATCCATGATTATGAACAAATAATTTCAGATAAGCTTAAGTTTTAAATTTGGAGTGATTTGGATAAACTTAATGTGCTTATCTGAAAAATTGATAAGTACACTGATAACCCCCGGAGCGCTAATTTTCGAGTGCATGACGTTATTATAAATTCAGATAAGCTTAAGTTTTAAATTTGGAGCGATTTGGATAAACTTAATGTGCTTATCTGAAAAATTGATAAGTACACTGATAACCCCCGGAGCGCTAATTTTCGAGTGCATAACGTCATTATAAATTCAGATAAGCTTAAGTTTTAAATTTGGAGCGATTTGGATAAACTTAATGTGCTTATCTGAAAAATTGATAAGTACACTGATAACCCCCGGAGCGCTAATTTTCGAGTGCATAACGTCATTATAAATTCAGATAAGCTCAAGTTTTAAATTTGGGGCGATTTTATGACTTCATGCAATACAAGTGCATTTTCATGCAATTCTGCATGCCTGAAATGCATGATTCATAAGCGTCATATATATTCATAAGTTTGTTACGGCCTTTACCATACAAGATGGCCCCCACGGAAACTTTGACCTCAAAAAAGTCATGGTTCCAGTCATTTCCCTTCCGACAACAAAAGCTGAGAATATAGCTCTTTTGACGTAGACAAATCTGGCATCAGGTTGTCAGAAGGGAAATGACTGGAGCTATTAGTTTTTTAACGATTTATGTGTATGTAAAAAAACCGCGAATATTCGAATTTTGAAATTTTTGATGCATCGAAATGTTCATATTCAGGGGGGATTCGAATGTCAAATGCAAGTTGGGGCCTAATTCTTGTTGTACCGAGTGTATACTAGCTTTCTCATTTTTCCCAGTTTCTTGTCTCAATTTTTAAAGGGGGTGTGGTTACATGCAGTTCTTAAATTCCTATACTACGTGAACCCTTCCACCGAAAATTAAATTTGTAATAATTTTTATGGAAATCGGTGGGATCGATGCGAAAAAGATTTTTACGTATCCCTCATTTTCTATCTACTATATAAAAAGTTATATACCGTTGCCTTTCGCAATCTTGTTGAGTTCCTCTTACGAAATGTAGAGTAGTCTAAATGAACGTATTTAAATCAGTCGTAAACAAATACTATATTTTTCGCGTGAGTAATTAAATCGAAGTTAGTAATTATTTATTTACACCCTTATGCGGATATTTAGTACTTATACAAATACGGAACTTGGGGTTAGTAACATCAATATCAATGCATATGTATGTATGTAGGTGCACAATTTTTTGACAAAGTGCATATTTAAATACATTACATCTTCAGACGAACAAATGTAAGAAAGATTTTTGGCCATCTTGTACACATTTGCTAAAGTGTCATCTGACACTAAGCAATTAAATATTCGAAATAATGAGGGCCTACCTTACGAGTTTGCATGTTAGCATCGCAACATAACTTTTTCGAAATTGCTAATTTTGCGAACCAACGAAATGAAGACACTTCGAAATGACAATTCGTAGAATTTTGTGTGTGAAATTTCAACAGGCAAAACTTTGGTAACTAATGGAGAATTATGGATTTTCCTATTGCAAAATTTTCCATATTTGTGAAAAATATGTTGCGAACTAAATAAATACTAGCTCTGGAGATGCAAGTTCGAAAATCAATTTTCAAGGCACAGTTTTTTGCGAACTTGTCAGCTTTATTGTATTGCGAATCTTGCTAACTTTATGAGCTCGAAATGAATACCCTCATTCAATTCATTTCTTATTTTGAAAAATTACACGCATAAGTCTTCTCACAAAGCAGGTGAAAGCTTCAAATTTTGAAATTTTGCTTCTGTACAACCTCATACATAAACTAATTGAATCGTCTGTTTCTGGTTCACATTCTGCATAACTTTTTTTCGTTATGCAATTTGGAAAAAGTCAAAAAGTTTATTTCGAAATTGAGCATTTGCATATTTATTGTAAAAGGCTTCTCGAATTGCGACTGCAGAACACACGGCGAAATCTATGAGGAGGACATTGACGTCTGACGTGAGGGGAGATTGTCCCTGGAAACTGGAAGCTCAGAAAAGTTCTAAGCCTATCCTGCAATGTCACAATGCTAATGTCCCCATATGCCTCCTCCCCCAAACTTGCACCATCACAGGAGAAGATGATATTCGTGCATTTATTTTTAAATATGTATGTATGCATATTAAACTTATGTACGTATGTACTATGTGAGTGATGTCACCATAAAATGCAAAAAAACTTTCTAATGTAATTTATTTAACACACAATTAAATGAGTTACAAATAATAACCATGCTGATTACACAGTCTAAGTAATTTTATTAAAAAATGTGTCCCCACCACAAAAATCCTTTTCAATTGGCCAAGAAAAACCAATCCTACTTCTTCACCCCTTTAAGTGCCCCCTTGTCCTTCTTGGCTGGAGTTTTCTTCGCTTTGGCCTTTTTTGCCTTTGGTTTCTTTGGCTTTTTCGCATTTTTCACGACTTTTGGCTTCTTCGCCTCCTCTCCACTGGCCGGTTTGGGCTTTCCCATCTGAAATAAAGTGTGAAAAAGTGAGAATTTTTACTTAATTTTTCGTAACCTGTGCTAAATACCTTTTCAAAATTCGAAAAACACGCTTTCGAAAATATGTATCTTTCAAGTCAGCTGGCTGGGAACGAATGTTCTCTTTCTTGAATGTGAATCCGAATAAGAGTGCGAGCAGGACGAGTAGAAATATGTATGTATTATGTAACCAGAGAGGAAGAAAGTAGGACGGCTTGCGCATTGATCCAAAAAAGACGAGGTGTTTTTTGTTGGGTTTTGGAATTGCTATGGAAATCAGGTTGGAGTGAGAGAGAAAATAATTTGTCTGCAAAAAGTGTTGTGCAGCGTGCTCTGAAGACTTCGCAAATTTGTAAATGTCGAAAGTAATGAAATCGTGATTTGAAATATGTATACATATTTACGTATGTACATATTTAAGAGTAAGACATTGTGCAATCAATTGTTTCATTCACAATAAGACAGACATATTTATCCCATCGAATTTATGCGTAAACACGTCGTTTGCAACGTAGGAAATAAACGAATACATGTAAAAACGAACAGTAAAATATCTTTAATAAATTTTTATCAAAAGTAAGTAAATTTTTTAGTAATTTGATGATCAATGAAAACTGGTCAATGTTTCCACTGGTTGCTGTAATGAGCAATTTTAATTTGCATCGCCACAACCGTACGGCTAACGTAAATTTCATGCATATGATTTCATGCTAATAGATGTTTGGGGTAGTCATTGACGCAAAACTTAAAATTATGGCTTATGTATAACTTGACCTATGCATAAATTTGTGTAAGTATATGTCGACATCATGGAACTTTCATGACTTTGAAGGTATAAATTACCTCACAATTTAAATATAACAGGTCGTCATACGTCATAATTTTAAGTTATATATGTATATTTACGATATGTCCATGGTTGTCCGTGTACCGCTAATGATCTTAATGCTATAATTAACAATGACGCAATGTTGACGCTATATAACTGTATAATTATATTTACTTATACAATTCAGGTCGTCTTCATGCATGGTTAAGCAACCCTCGGGGTTCACTAAACATTACTAATGTGTGCCTAATGGGAAAAACGGGTTGAATAAAGCACTGTGTATGTAGGATTGTCCCTCGTAATATATTTCAGTGAAAGGTTGTAAAATTAATTTCGGTTCACCAATACTTAATTTAAACGTATGCAAAATATTTCGCATGAAAACAAAGCCATTAAAACTCTAGAACCTTGCAATTACCAGACATGCTAGGCTATGAGGTACACATGCAAATATGTACATGGATATAACCAGATTTGTACATAAATTTAAAATTATGCTCTATAATAATTATGTACAATTGCACCGTTAAAAATCTGGTAGAGTCGCATGTATACTCCGTACTGGCATTGATTTGGTAATAACCTCCTACCGGATTGGTAGTAGTTTTATTTCTTAGTGGTAAAGTGTTCATTGCCACAAGATTACGACATAATGCTCGTCGTTACCGTGCCGGTAGGGTCATATGTATTTCTACTACATTTTCTAAGAGTGTACAGCTACATCATACTTATGTAACTTTGCAGGTTACTAGGCAGAATAAAAACTTTTCAAGCAAATTGAGACCTTAATTTCCAAACTGATCACTTAATCGTAACTAATTTAATACTAAAATAATTTTCCATGATTGACATATTTATAAAATGAGACATTTAATAAACTGTTCTGTCTACGAATCCAGTAGTTTCCTGACCACCTCGTAACCGTCACGATGTATACGAAACGGCTATTCAAACTAATCCACTACGCCTTAATCCTTCCCAACATGTTGGGCTCGACAAGCATAAAACTAAACTTTGCGGAGAAAAAGCTCTACAAAACGGAACGTTCTTCAAGAAAATTCTTGGCGTTTTTGTGCCTGCAAACCGCCATGAATTTTATCGTGGGGTGGAGAACGATTGGGATCTATTTCAGTAAAGGGGCTCATCATGATTTCTATTTTCATATGTGTTACGCCATCAGTTTTTTACTCCTCATGTCAAATAGTTGCATGTGGTACGCATTCTTCAAGATTGATGAGGCGATTGATATCATAAATCAGACGATGGCGTACAGTTGCAAATTTGAGAGTAAGTGAATATTAAAAACTTCGGATTTGAAACAAGAACCTTCATAGCAATAACATTGAAGGGGTCAATACATATACTTTAAATACCGTACTCTTAAAAATTATGTCACCTTTTAGGGAAATTAATGCATTCTTAATTGTAATTGTAGTACTAATACAATTAAGAATCGTGTTAATACTTGTGAACGTTTAACGTGTATTAAGCGAAACATTTTTATGTTATTCTCAATTTTTTTTCTTTAATGAAATTGTTTAACACACATTTCCAAAATTTGTATAGCCTCACTATTTTTGAATGTCATATTTAATTTAGGAAAATGGATGCTAAAATCTTACAATCCTGACGTACTGAACTGTATTCCTGGTCGTTATCTGGATGCCGCGATTATCTTATCGACATGCATTGTCCTGTTTGTCCCGATTTTAACAGCCGCACATTACTTCTATCTCCCAGATTTGCCAATCTTCCTGCCTACGGTTTTACCCTTGGCGGAAAACGACGAACTATGGGAATTTTCGCTAAAGCAGACAAACTGGGTGAAATTGGCGTTTGGTTGTTTCGGGGCTTTGTTTTGGCTCGCCACTGCGCAAATATTTCACACAAATTTCATCGTACTAGCCATTTATACGGGTGAGTTTAAAAAAGTTCAAAAAATTATATTTCTGAAAAGTCAGCCCCCCCCTCCCCCAATATATCTGCACATGAAATGAAGTTCAGTTGTATAAAACCTTGCATCATGAAAATAATTTCCACCGCTTCACAAATGAGCAGAGAATGAAGGGTCCCAAATTTTTGTAAACATACACTGTTAGAATTCTGGGATAGTCACATTTACATATATTGATTTCTCAATATTAAAGTTGTACCATGTGGTATTAAAAGTATGCAGATGCATCAAAGTTCCCTTCCAGTGTTGTAAAACTTTAGTACCAAGTTATTACTACTCTGTAGTACTAATGAATACCATTTTGGCATAGTCACGTATGAATACTGTTTGGTATACTTTTCATGGTTGATTTCTAAGAGTGTAGTTGTGCAAAATTTACATATTTATGTAAGTTATGCCGTTTCGCAAATTTGCACTACGTACAAATTGTCAAATTTTTACATATCATTGCATTGCCTGATCATTGCATTCCTATGACTTTTGCAAAATTTTTAAAATTTTTGAACAATGAAATATCTAGCGTCCATCCTGCAATTGATTGAGGTCGAGTTTCGTACAAATATTCGCAAATTGAGGGGCAAGTGGAACACATATTCATATCTACGCTGTGTCAGTACCCTCACTCATGAGTACAGATGTGTTGAGATACTCCATTCAAAATTTAAGAAATTCAGTGGATACTTGTTCCGCATCCTGAACGACGAATTACTGCATTTCACACTTTGTTGTCATTTCATCCTCGTGAGAAACTGGAACTCGTTGGATTTTTATGCAAAGGTGAGCTTAAATTTTGTATGGCCATAGTACAAATTTGTACAATCTTGGGCAATATTTATATATGTACAGACAGGGTGTGTTATTTTTACCACGTGGCGTAGACATGACTTCACTCAAAACAAAAATTTGTCGAATCAACACCGCCGGTGTCAATATATGACTTAACCGCCTTGGTTACAATGTTGAATCCGAGTTATGATGATTTTGATACCGGTAGTTATAATGTTATGACCGGACGGAAAAAATTCAATACTACTCGGAATAACAATTGTAACCAAGGCGGTTGAGTCATATATTGACACCGTTTTGTTTTGAGTGTTTGCCATTAGGGTACGATACAATGGGCAAAGTTGGAATTGTATATGCATTGACAGTTTTGTAAAACCGGTGGTTATTTCGATTTTTAAAATTTTGGTAAAATGGGGTTTCAGCTCAGAACGGTTTATGTTACGTGTGTAAAACCGGTTTAGAAAAATAAAATAAGAAATAAATAAGAAAAAAATGTAGAACGGTTACCGGTTACATATAAAACCGGTTTCTAGCCGATTTTACAAAATCAGAACAACCGATTTAAAAAATTGGAAAAACCGATTTACCAAATTGGAAAAAACAATTAAGAAAGTCGGATAATCCGACTTACAAAATCTAACAAACCAAATAACAAAATCGGAAAAACCAATTAACAAAATAGGAAGAATCAATTTACAAAATCTGAAAGACCGATTTGCATAATCGGAAAAACCGACTTACAAAATCGAACAATTTTGGATACCCTAGTTTTAAACTATACGAATAATTCAATTTTCCAAATTCCAGGCACAATTGGCCGCGTGGGGGTTCATATTTCAGTTCATGTGGACTACCGTGCTTCTCATTTGTGCCCACTTTTATCAAAGTTCAAAGCTGACGCTGACCTCTTGGGATAAAATAAAATGCGAAAGGATGTTGGATAAGAAGTACATGTCGAAATTTTCAAAGTCATGCCGTCCCTTAAGCTTTGGAGTCAATGGAATATTCACGATAAGGAATGACACCGTCTTAAAATTTTCGATTGGAGTTGTGAGAGGAACTTTTAGAACGTTGTTAATGCTTGAACGAACGAGGAGAAGATATCACTGATAATTTTTTGCATACGTAGGTATAAATATTTTGTATGATATTCTTTAAAATTGGTTGTACGCAAAGATAGTAGTTTGCAGTTGACAACCAACTTACGATGCAGTTCATAGGCAGTTTTTGGAAACCTTGTAAGATGCGTAAATCTTTATTAAATTTTGAAAATAGTTCCAAGGAAAATTAGCCTTCGATTTTTTGTAAACTGGTTTAGATCAAGGGCGTCTTTATATTTTGTAAAAGGTTGTAAAATTATCTTCCAAAACACACGGAAACATAAGGAATTTATTTTTCAAGTTACAAATGACTGCGTGAATTGAGTATATATTGCGGCAAGAATTTTGTATTCAAGTCAAGGATCTGTTTCTTTGGTTCATTCTTAAAAATCTATGACGTAGTCGGCCCACATTAAGCGATCAATTATTCACTGTGCTGTTTAGGTTACATTTTTATTTACCGTTTGCTATCTTGACCTCTATCCTAAATATCCACCAGATAATGCCCATTAATTTCGTTGTACGATCCTTGAA